AACGATACTGACATTGATCCAAACTCAGTGCACCTACCCTTCCCCTAACCCAACATTAGCCCTAACTTGTTATTGAGTTGTGGGAGGGGTAGGTGAACAGTTCCTTAGATACTGACATTGATCCAAACTCAGACCCCACTTAACTGTCTTTAACACTCAGAGAGGTCAGGGCTCAACACTAACTTTTCAACTTACTAGCCAAGTGGCTGGTGACAACCAAGATGTTACAACAATTTCAGTTTGTTTACTAGCTAAACTGGCCAGTGGAAATAAAAAACCACTGAATTTCTACTAGTCTACTGTTAGTATCGAGCCCTGGAGGTCAGATGTTTTGATACACTCAGGAGTCAGATTTTTTTATGAGTCTGACTGCTGTATTTATTCGTCTATAAGCCGAGACCCTAAACTTTGGTCTATTTTAATCGGGAAGGTTCTTAAAACATATAAATTGAAAATACTCGGCTGTAAGCCGAGACTATATTCAGAGAATTCCATTCTCGAACAAACTGAAATGAATGCAAAAGTTTCAAAACAGAAAAGAGTTTCAATGCAATATTGCCGTCAAAAACAATTCCGAGATAACCAGAGAGTGAGTCATCAGTGCGTCACTAGAGTAAAGATCAAGAGAACCTGTTTTAATGGAGAGCTTGAGATGTCAGCGAAACGCACAACAATGGGCCATTACACTCCAAAATATCCGCGGCTGGATGAGAGATTACTTGACTGGTTTACAGAGCAGAGAAGCCAAGATAAGTTTTCTTTTTACATGATCATAAATTTCAACACCGTAACATGTGACGAGTTTGTTTACCAATCAAGGGAATGGGAAATTCTGATTGGTCAGTTTCGAAATTTTTAAAACAAAATTTGCAAGATCTATACACTCGTTCAAAACCTGCAGAATCTGAAATACTATAGACGGCATGGAACATGAAGCAATCTACTCGGAATAAATGGCAGAACTAGCAGATGAGGAGGAGATGGACGACAAATTCCATGCTGACACTGAGGACAGACAATAAGAAGCAACCACATAAATAAAGTCAAAGACCAACTTCAACTTGTTTTGTTATTTTGCTTCTGCATGCAATATCTCGGCTTATAGACAAATATATCGATGTTTCCTTTGAATTTGCTGTTTCGAAAAAGTTGTGTTTGGAAAAATACTCGGCTATAAGGTGAGAACCCTTCTCTAGCTCAAATTTTTGAGATTTTGGTAAAGTTTTGTGCAAAAATCGCCCGGTTTATAGATGAATAAATACGGTATTTTGAGACATCCAGGGGTCTGAGTCTTTTGGGAGTCGAAGACTTGAGTTTTATTAGGTCTGAGTTTTTGCAACACACAGTCAGTTAGGTGAAGGGTACAAATTTAACAGTTTGTTGGCCCATGACTCCCGGGGTAGATCCGAGTTTCTTCATCATTGCTCACTAAGATCATAAGAATAAAGGAAATGATTGTTAAACAAATTCTCCTTACTGGTAACAAAAGAAATGCATGGGGAAAAGTTGAAAATGTGGATACTGATGTTAAGGAGTAGAGGGTTAATAATATCAGGGCTCGACACTAACTTTTCAACTTACTAGCCAAGTGGCTAGTGACATTTTAGATGTTATGACAATTTCAGTCTGTTTACTAGCCAAACTGGCTAGTGGAAATTGAAAACCACCAGCCAAAACTGAGTTTCTACTAGTCTGTGGCTAGTGGGCTACCATTAAGTGTCGGGCCCTGAATATACCCTTTTTTTCACTGATTTCAGGTTTGCGGCTAGACTGGAGCAACTTCTTGTTGAATGGAAATTGGATGGCACAAACAAGAGAACATCTTCAAAAGTATTTTTGTATTCATTATTAATTTGTTAAACTTACTGGTATAAAATGATTGGACTTTTTGACCAGAAAGCAATCATTGAGAGCTATAATCAGTGAAAATGTATTCAGTTACTTTTCACGAAATACGTGTACAAATTAGAATTCATTGTAATGTCTATTAGCAAGTTTATCAATCATTTCATGTGAACATACATGTACGTTTTTAATCTTTTTTCTTTAACAGGGGAAAGGAATATTTGGGAATTTTGAAAAGAGTAAATTGAATCCTATTCCAAGTAAAAAGGATGATACAGAGGTAACTTATAAATAATGACAAGGATTATTAATGGTTTTAACTCTGGAGTAACAGCTGATCATGTGTTCTTAGGTAACCCGTCCAGTTGCTACCAAGTACTTTTGCTAACAGTCCGATCACTACCGATCACAGACTGATCGCTACCATGACGAAGTCTGATCGCTACCACTGGAAATTATCAACAGAAAACATAGATGAAATAAAATTTCTGTAGCATTTTAGAGTATATCTTGAGTGATCATTTCACGATACAATCAATCAAGACAAAGATCCATTCGGACTGGTAGTATAAAAGTACTTGGTAGTGACCAGACTGTAATTCTATTCTTATCATCTTTTGAGAGTAATTCTGAAAAAAAAAATTGTCATTAATGTCAGAGACTGAAGTTTTGACAGTGTTACAGATAAGTTGGTCATCATACGAGTCAAGCAAGGAGCTTAGTTTGGTTGAGTGCTAAAGGATTCAATCTTTTGCCTGGCAAGAAAATCCTCACTCTGATGATGAGATTATGGCAATCTGCGGTCTTTCCTTACACTTAGGTAGCAGGGAAAGCCGTAAAAATCTTGAACAAAAGCTCATCTTTCAAACCGGCAGTCTAAATCCCACAGGGATCAACAAACGCTTTTCATTCCACTAATTTATTCTTGTTTTTCTCGTTGCCATGTTCCCACCAATAACGTAGCTCCATTTTCTGCCTTTAAAAGCACACACAACCCACAATTCCTCTATTCGCTCCGACGAAGGGCTAACGCTCGAAACGTCAGCTTTTGTAATCGTTACGGTGGCCAATTTACCATTTCAACTTTGTTGATATATCCAAATTATTTCGTTACCCCCACCGACGCAGCCCCAAACAGTTTCTTTAGAAACTATCAGCCTTTATTCATGGCTACTGAAGAAATGAGTTCAGTCACCACTTGGTCTGCGCTACAAAAAGTTAACTTTGAGCCCTGTAAAAGAAAGACAAGTAGGTTCATTAATGCAAACCGAAATCAACTTACCAGTTGCTCAAGTCCACGA